AACGTTACGCCACTGGCGCTCCCTTCTTGCTACGCGCGGTCCCTAGCGAGCGACTTGGGCAAGTCTAATCCTAGGGCTGAGGTTGATCTTATATTCAGGTTCTGGAGTATAACGTACCATCAAAAATCTTTTATTCAACCCACTACTACACATTCAGCTGTTGACCATTATAACTCTCCAATGTGCTCAAGCAAAAGCAATAGCCGTATTCTTGCGTTGACGTCAATGTTTGCTTTTAATTGACTATTTTTCATAAGCCACACAAAATGGGCGAAGTCAACAAATACGTGTTGTGACGTCACTTACAAGTTGCAAAAGCCCAATGCTTGGAAAAACGAGTCTGCACACGTATGGCCGCCAATGTATAACAGTTTTTTGTAACCTGAATCGTCCCCGGTCGCTCATCCCATGAATGGTGGGATTGAATTACGTATTGGACAGAGCATTCCCATGGGCCTGTCTAACCCCCCAGCGTCTGCCTTCATTGAAGGCTATGGCGCATGATCATAATTTTTTCGGAGCATATTTGAGGAAATGTGGAAGAGTGACATAACCAACCAATACGTATACATATTTTGCATGTATTTTTTCTATGCAAGTTTAGGCATTTAGCGTGTCACAAACCCCAAATATGATTTTTCCTAACTGCAATATTTGGTTCATTCTAAGAAAAAATGCTATATGTCTTTGTAGTAAAAAGCTCATCTTTGTTTAATAAATTTTGTTGCTCTTAGAGTTGCAGTTTTCCTTTGCTTTTACCACTAAAATTCACTTATTAGTTATTACATTATTTCCTAGAATGATTTCAGTATTCCACATGCCAAAAATTATCATTTCTGCAGGTAATATTTTCCCTTATCTTCCACTCAGGGGCGTTGGGGGGGGGGAGGCTTTGAGGGGCACTTTAAAAAAAAAGGGCATCTCAAATATTTTTTTGCTCCCCCCCCCCCGGGCAAACCAATATATGATATTTTTCTCGGAGACTAAAACATTTTCCGGAAAAAAACATAGATTGAAGTTTTCAAAAGTTTCGTTTGGACAAAAAATGCAAATTTTATGAAAATTTTTCAGGCACAAAAAGGGCACTTTGCTCCTGGAAAAAGGGCACTTGCCAAAACTTGGGGGGGGCATGGCCCCCCTGCCCCCTCCCCACCGGTTCCTACGCCCCTGCTCCCACTCCTGCAAATGATAAATATTTCCTTACAAATTCTGCGATCTTCAACACAATGATAACTATCTTGAACAGCTCCATAACTGTAATCTGAAGATAAAGAAAATACAATTTCACCTTTTGTCGTCCACGGCGAGAGGACAAAAAGATAAAGAGAATAAAAAGAAATTGACTTGTCTAATAGATATTATACCACTGGTACAGTGACTGGTCGCGTGGCCGTACAATTGCATGTTGAAGATTTATCATGCATGTCAGCCTGACTGTGTTCTGGGTATATTATATGAGGGTCCTGAATGGGGGGTACCAATCCCATTTCCCACCTGAAATTTTGGCAAAATCCCAGTCCCAGTTGGATTTTTATTAGAAATCCCAGTCCGAGTTATTGAAATCCCAGTAAATAGAAAAAAGTTATTTATCGGTAGAATAAACAGTTTTAGGACCTTTTAAGCCACCGTGTGTGCGCACCGTGTGGCAGAAGCGGTTGTGCTTTGCCTTTGAGGTATATACTAAGGGTTTAATAAATTAAGTATATACCGAAAACCAGGAATATATTCCACTGTGCATCTGACTTGGGGACACGCATAATCAGAAAACCCAGAATTCCGGGCGCCAGATTATGCCTGTTCCCAGGTAGTGCGGTGAATAATATAGTTAACAACAAAAATCATGACCAAAGACACCAAAAACGGATCAAAATTGTATTTTAAAATACTTGAAACGTGGGAAAATTGGGTATCGACACGCATTACCTCAATCCCATTCCCATTTTTGAGGACTTCATTTCCCATTCCCAGTGGCCAAATCCCAGTCCCAACAACCCAAATCCCATTTTGCAAGTCTAAAAACAGATCAATCCCAGTTCCCATTTTACCCCTTCAGGACCCTCTTATATATTTTTGGGAGTCCCGTCGGGAAAAATGCTTATATATACTTTTTAAAATACGGTCAATATGGTCCAAATGAAAAACATATATATGAAAACTTCTGATTTTTAAAATTACAAGGATGTTTACTTGGCCTAATAAAAAACTTACTGTCCTCAACCGTTCAGGCAGTACGGGAAAATATCCAACCTCGGTCTTGCTGTATTGACCTCGCTATCGCTCGCTCAATACAGCAAGTCCTTGGCCTTGGATATTTTCCCGTACTGTTCTCACTCTCGGTCAGTAAGTTATTATTAGAGAGGTTAAGATACCCCGGTTCCGATTTACGGGTACGAGTATCGCCATTTTGTTTAGCAATTTTTGCTGATGTCAGCATTTCTACCCGTAATTTTTACCCGTTTCCCCGCGGTAAACCAAGGTCTACACGTAAAAGACAAACGGGTACGGGTGTTTTCTGCTTACTATATGTGGGCCGTTTAAATAGTAAAAATTTTCAACATCTTACCCAAATAAATAATGCACATATGCTCGTCAAAGTTTTAAACAATTTATGGCGAACCTCAATAGCGAAAGTTACCATTCTCTGATCGGTTTTCACACGCCGGAATATCTTGGATTTCTTAAGTTACAAGTCGTTCCCCGATTTACGGGTACGGGTACGTGTATATCACCCGTACCCGTAAATCGGAACCGGGTATCTTAATCTCTCTAATATACTGTGTAACACCTCATTAAATTCTGGTCATATTTGGTGTGATATATTTTTTACAATAAATCACCCCACCATTATCATATTATTTCTTCACTAAACTTTATTACAATACAATACAGTACAACTAAACTTTATTTAACAAGGATAACACCAATTACAAACGTATTCTCCTTAGTGACCCTAAAGCGTTCGTTAGCACTTTTTTGTTGGATTTTAATTATTTCTGAACAATTAAGATATGCATTTGTTTTGTATTTAAAAATCACTTTAAAAAAGTCATTAATAATTCACGAAGAAAATTGAAAAGAAATGAATGTTTAATCAATGTTTGTAAATCGGTTAAGGATTTGTCTTGATTTACATAAGTAAACTTCAGCTTTCATTTTCTTGCAGCTTGGACAATGTTTATTTTTTAAATTACTTCGCCAATAAACTCATCAATTGGGACGTTTTTTTAAGTGCGATAAAACATTCACATCCGATCTTTATCTGATATACAAACTCTCGCTATCGGCTCGAGTTTGTATATCAGATAAAGATCGGATGCGAATGTTTTATCTATAGTACTTAAAAATTCAAAATTTGCATGTGACCAAATTATACGAGCAAATTAAAACGTGTTTCGTGGTCTGATTACACTTCAATCAAGAGCAGAGTTTCTTTGCAAAATCCTAAAGTTCGAACAGCATTAAATTGACGGTGGAGTTTTATATAATACCTTATTGAATTGATATTGAACGTGATATTGAATAGAAAATTCCATTTCCCAAGAGTGCAATGGAATACGTTCCATTGCACTCTTTGCGAGTGCAATTGTACTGTACGTTTTATTCCATTGCACTCTTTGTGTTTTCGATAAATCGCATCCGTCAAAATGCTTCTCGTACGGTGATCGCAGTTTATTTTAACCCGATATTCGAAACTCAGTAAATGGGATTTAATTAATGCAAATTATACGACTCGTCAAAATGGCAGGAGCTTACAGTAAACCTTTTAATATTAGTCTATTTTGGTATTATATAAAACAAATAATGAATGTTTTTCTTCGACCGTGCAATATAATATGGTAAGAATATTTTCATTCGGTGAAAGATGGAATGTTCCATTCAACTCGGCTGTCGCCTCATTGAATGGAACATTCCATCTTTCACCTTATAGAAATATTCTTACCATTCCACGAAGAAAAACATTCATTATTTGAATTTTATGAACTTTTCGAACCGGCTTACCAAACTTCAAAGGTTGAATTTTACATTAAGGTGGCTCAGAACAGTTATAACGGTATAGCGCACAAACGCCCATTGTTCTCAAAATATGATCACGGAAACTTTGCTCATTCCTCATTTTGCAAAATATGTTCACGGAAATCGCTCACAACATTGGTTAAATACTAAGAATTACCAAAAATGTCGTTATTTATTTTCGTTGCCATGATGGTAATTCCGGAATGATTGCATGTATACTTGCATTCTTGGATGTTTTGAATTCTTTTCGGAAAAACGTTTTTAGTTTTAAATTTTTTTCTACAAATATCTGATCAAAAGGGGGGGTGTCACTAGTTCGAGAATTTTTAAACATTTGTAGGGTTCAATTTTTCCATCTCGCGCGAATTCAGCTTCAGATCCTCACTAATAATTGTAGGGGCCATCTTAAATTGAAAGTTTTAAATTGAAACTGACTGTAAGCGAAACTATATTATTATTACTGTAACATCAACTGCCAACTACCAATTTGTATATTTCAGCGACCATTGATAATTATATAGATAAGAACTGATTTCCAACGTTTGAAAATTATGAAACACTTCATTTTGGGATTTCTCAAAACCATATTTCTCCAGTTGTTGGAAAGGGCAAGGGTAGCTCTATAACATGCATTTTTCCAGTTTCAAATTATTAATTCTGACCGTGTTTTAATTTAATGGTTCTCACATAAGTCACAACTGTATTTACGCAATTAATTAGAGTCATAATGGACGAATTTGGTCATAACCTAGGAAATATAGAACGGTAATGAGCATTTGCGGCGCTGGCTAATTTAGACATAAATCACTTTTAATTACGAAAGTTCCATTTGACCTTCAGAGTACCAGCGCGTATGACACTAAAGCCTTTGTGCGTGCATAGTCCTCTTTGTACTTACAAGTCACGAAATCGAAAGAACATGTAATAAGTAATTGCTTTGTTTCTCGCTCAGTCTGAAAAACAGGCGACCTGCAGTGACAGCATGCCTGCAACAACGCTTTTTCGTACAATTTGCCACTTACCGACTGGCAAGCGATACCACAGAGCGGCTCCTATACAGGTACGCCTCATTTCCTGTGCTGCCCAAAATACTGATAGTGTAATTCGTATAACTATTGTACGTCAGTGTTTGTGAAAATTGAAACATTTTAGGAAAGACGGCATGCAGTTTTATAACTTTTATTCATCATAACTTGACACGGCAGTTATGTATAGCCGTACGTATTAAGACGCAACTATAGATTAACGCTGAGCATTTTATGCCTATGAAAAATATCCCTCCCCCCGGCTCACTCGAATACTATCAGCTATTAATTAAAAGTAACAGAAATCAGGCCAAACTATAGGGGTGGGGGGGTGGGGGGGAGGGGGGAGAAGGAGTTACCAGAATACCAATATACTTGTTAATTGTGGCCCATTATACATGTATACCTATACGGCTGTCTGCCTGAGTATTAATCTTGAATAAATTTTGTGTAGGATATTATTTATACCCGTATTTCAAGCTATTTTAATTAACAATAAATATTGTATACCAAAAATGAAATGATCTAAGTACTAATATACCTGACTGAAACCCCTGGCCGGGCTTGAGAAATACATTGTCAGTTTCCACAATTTCGTCAAGCCTTCTTGAATTCAGTACACGAAATCAAACAGTCAAGAGTAACAGCTGGACTTCAATTATAAATTTGTTTCATAAAAATACAAATTATTCATGATTGAAAATATTCAAAATATCAAACTATATATTTGTCTCATATTCTTTTGGTCGACGCAAAACAAATGGTCTAGAAATCCGTCATTAATTATTTGAACGAAACGTCAACGGAAAATCATAAATTTCTTTTTATTGATTTTTAATATTTTTTTTAGTTCTTTTTATATAGTTGTGCGTGTGTCTGACGCAATTGGAAGGTCTACATGTTACATTCGCAGTGATTTGGTTAACTAGTTGGTATACCTTAGTACATACCTGGACTTCAGCTTGAATTTTTCCGCAAAAAACTTGGACGCAAAGAGAGAAGTGTCCTCACCTGTTCACTATATCTTGACTAGAAAACACCACGCAACTGGCTACATTTGTTTTTATCAGAAAACAATTACAATAACACTTCATATTCCGGATATTCTCATAATAGAAATTTTTGAAAGACTTCTTTTAGTAAGCACATATACATTAGTATGAGTTAAGAGTTTCAGTACGATAAGAGTCTGGTACAGTTTCCACAGGGGCGCTAAGCTGTCCTAAAAATGAATGACGTCGTATAAGTCTTGGTTGAAAAGCGTGACCTTTTACAATCCACAGGTTGTTTGACTATGCTAATTACCGACGATTTTAGCCACCACTAAGTCATACAATCTGGCCAAAACCATTTATTAAGCAGTTCTTTTTTAGAAATTTTTGATGTCCAAATTCTAAAATTCGGCGTCAGAAAGTGCAGGAAATGGCACTTTCGGGCCTCAATTGTTCAAGACCTCCGGACCCCCCTAGCAGCTGGTTTTCAGCCAACCCAGGCTTTAAATATCTTCCTACGCAACTGCTATACTATGACAGTTCGACCTTTTTTGCCTGTAATATTTGCACTTAGCTGAAAACTATGGTACCTAACTTACGGGTGAACATTAGATCCCCCCCCCAAAGGACCCGTTCTGCCGCCACTGTAGTCAACCCACCCTTGATGCAATACATACACGACACTAAATGATATGTTGGGTCACATGATACGACAAATTTAAAACATTGTAAACTTTCGCCTGAAAACTTAGTTTAAATTAACTCAAGGAACATTTCATTAGTTGTGATGTTTTACTTCAGGGGGGAGTGTGGTTCGCTACTGGCTATAACTACCTGCCTTGTCCCCAGGCGCTATAAAAAGATCTCACACGAGTCACTATATAAAAGGTTTACATGAAGTAGTGCGTCATTATAGGCGCGGAAATGGGGATGGGATATTAACGTTGCTTCAACCCCATAAACCCCTGCGCCACTTGTTGTCGCGATACCCTACTTCATGTAAACCTTTTATATAGTGACTCGTATGTGAAATCTTTTTATAGCGTCATGCTGCAGGAATTGAGAGGTAGTTGAGCCCCTGGGGACGAGGCAGTATATAACTACTGCTTGAAATATGTAGCGAACTATTCGCTAGCCTCTTTGCTAGCCTTCCCTACAACAAAATAACATCCTTCTATCCACATTTTCAATTTATATTCATGTCATGCATATATATGTTCTCAATTTGTAATTTGAATGTTATGAAATTAAGCTGATTGATACCCTGGATTCCAGAGCCTTCGACAGTAAATAATAAATTGAAACGTCGCGAAAGCTCTGGTTCAACGGGGAGATTCTTTGATTAATTAAACCCCGCCAATCTGTACTAAAACCACCAATTCTGTTTTGTGATTGGCGCGGTTTAATCAAAGAATCTCCCCGTTGATCCAGAGCCTTCGCGACGTTTCAATTTATTATTTACTGTCGAAGGCTCTGGAATCCAGGGTAGCTGATTGATTGATTGAGTAGACCTTAAATTACTTAAATGATATACCTAAACTAAACAGCATTCTCTACTCGTTAGCATTGCTTTAATTAATATTGAGAACTGAAAATTTGGCTAAACAAATATGAGCAATGAATTATTTTTTTTTCTGTACTGGTGTTGTGTACTCAGGTGAATATGATGCTTGTGATGTTACTCTGAGTGTATATCCACACTGGGCGACCTTGAAAAATATGCCCGGCCACGGTGGGAATCGAACCTACGACCTTTGGAATACTAGCCCAACGCTCTGCCAACTGAGCTACGCGGTCAGGACGGTTCGAGTAAGTGATATTCCAAAGGTCGTAGGTTCGATTCCCACCGTGGCCGGGCATATTTTTCAAGCACGCCCGGTGTGGATATACACTCAGAGTAACATCACAAGCATCAAATGGCCTGGGAACGAGGTTGACAGACAGTTGCAATATTTTTTGTAGACGGCTTTTTACGCAGTATCTATATTTAGCGAAGAGAAAATTGCTTGATTGCAGAAAAAGTGGACCCGCGTTGTTCCTCCCTATTAAAGCAAGAGCAGTATGCGTTGGACTGAAATTTTTTGGCCAAAAATAGTCAAGCATGAAACACCGGGCAAGCTTGAAAAATATGCCTGGCCACGGTGGGAATTGAACCTACGACCTTTGGAACTGACTAGCCCTCAGTTGGCCGAGCATTGGGCTAGTATTCCAAAGGTGGTAGGTTCGATTCCCACCGTGGCTGGCCAGGTATATTTTTCAAGCTTGCCCGGTGCGGATACACACTCAGAGTAACATCACAAGCGTCATATTCACCTGATCGTGAGTACATTACACCAACACAGAAAAATCATGATCACTAGATTATATTGATATCGAAGGAACTAGTTTCTGTTGCGAAGTATCACATACTCGAACCGACCTGACCGCATAACTCAGTTGGCAGACTATTGGGCTAGTATTCCAAAGGTGTAGGTTCGATTCCCACCGTGGCCAGGCATATTTTTCAAACTTGCCCGGTGTGGATATACACCCAGAGTAACATCACAAGCATCTCGACAAGCATCACATTCACAAGAGTAGATTACACCAACACAGAAAAATCATGATTACTAGATTACATTGATATCGAAGGAACTAGTTTCTATTGCGAAATATTACATACTCAAACCGACCTGACCGAATAGCTCAGTTGGCAGAGCATTGGGCTAGTTAGTATTCCAAAGGTCTAGGTTCGATTCCCACCGTGGCCAGGCATATTTTTCAAGCTTGCCCGGTGTGGATATACACTCAGAGTAACATCACAAGCATCATGTTCACCTGAGTACATTACACCAACACATTTAATATAAGTGCATTACACCAACTCATTATAAACTCAGCATGATAAATTTTGTCTGGGAAGGGGGCTGGGGGCAGTAGTTGCCCCACTCCGCACACACACTGTGTACGGCCTTGAATAGCAGAATAATTGCCTTTAAATTACCGTCTGGTCGTACTGAAATTAAATTGTACGGATACAAAATAATCTTGCGGCATAAAGTACTTACCTTCGCATATCCGATGTCCGTTCGTTCGTATGTCCGCATTTTTATTCGCTGGGAATTCGATATCTCCCGGAAGTCAGCAGAGGGAAGTCAGTTACTGTAAAGGCACAGAAGGCTGAATCTGATTGGTCAATCTCATTCTATATTTATATATCTGCAACATTTCACCACATTTTTCTTTGCACGGCTGACAGGGAAGGTATTAACGTTGCAGGATTCGGAGAAGAAATTTTTCATATTCGGTCTCAAAAGTACATTCGAAAATGTCTGGGATTTCGCTCACCGATGTAAACAAGTAAGTGTAAAGCTTGCGATGTTTGAATTTGATTATCAATGGACGATTTTATACGAGTTTATATACATTGTGTGTAAAGCTGCAAAAATGCAGTCAGCTGAGACGAGTTCCATTTGACTACATCACTTAATTCTATGTTATCAATTGTTTATTTTCTTTTATTTGTAGCTATATTGACCAGCACATGGTATGTATGAAACGCAACGTGTTATATTTTAAACATTGCTTGTTTATGCGGTTATAATGCCTTATTATTATTTGACACTGTGTATTTACATACAGGTACATATATTCAAAAATATTAGAATTCGGTATATTTCAAAGTAAATTACTATATTTAATAAGCTGTAGTTATCCTAGAGCGATAGTAAATGTTTTGTTTCGATTTCTCAATCTAATATCATGGCAGCCAAGTCTCCAAGCATTCTCCTAGTTAAATTCTAGTTTCCCAGAAGGTGGTTTCAGTTGCAAAACTGGTTTATGACAGGACTGTAACAGGTTTGCCCTTGTTCTTAACAATAGTAAACACTATGAGATTTGAAACTTGTTTATTAGCTTCATAAAATTCCAGACTGAATTCCCAGTATTTCTTCAGTGTTCCCGTCATCGAGTTACCAGGTATCAATACCCAAGGTCAATAACTTATTTTGTGTGCTTGCTTGTCATAATGTATACAGTACACAGCTATAGTTGAAATTTTATACCCACCAAGGTAGAGGGGACAGCTTACAGTAACCCTTCATCGAAAAGGTGGCAATAGAGACAATGTTGTGCCCTGCATATCAAGATACATTGCTTAAATGGGCCCTACAGTCATTTTTTAGTCGAAAAGCCACCTTAAGTAGGGGACTCCACAGAGATTTGTTTGGCTGTATCTTACATGCAGGGCCCCTTTAATATTTTTATGTGTTTATCCAGGAATTATGTCCACGAACATAGGAAATAAAATCTTTGTGGGAAACTACTGCAGTTCATATTCAACGAGAAAGCTACTATGCACCAACCAAAACTTTTTATTTTGCATTGTACACAAGATTTGTGTAAAATGCATTCTGACCCGTACAATTTTCCTGTTCCTGTTATTAAGTTGTGCCCAATGCATCTTTATTAATAACTACGGAGCATTTGCATGCTTGCAACTTATAATGGGTTAAATAATTATAAGCAATTTTAGTAATTGTGTTAGGAAATTTTACAAAATAAGCTATAATTAGCACACATAATATTATTGACTGCTGTTAGCTTGCATATACTAAAAACAGCAGGATACTTAAAACCCACTGGGTTAATATCTAATAAATTATTAAACCCATAGTACTCTTCCTTGATTAAAATGCAGGATCAAAATTAATTAAATTGATCACTTTAATTAAGTAATCACTTATGATGTATGGGTGTATGCTAGCAGTATTCTGGTATCCTGACAATACCAGTTTAGAATTTTGGATACCAGATGTTGAAACTTGGTATTCAATTTGAATACCGAAGAAGGTCTTGCCTGTATGCCTAAGCCATTTTCACTTCAACTTGTTTAATTAATCAAGACAATTACAAAAGTTTTAGCATTTTAATATTGCAGATATCAAACTCTGTCATTAGTAATGGCATTAAACCTCTTACATTTAGTGAACTTTTGATTTCATGGCAACTAAGTATAATATAATACTGGTATGTTGAAAGCATGTTTTATTTTGAGAATTTGGTTAGCAGATTTTAGTTTCGATACCAGGCTAAGAAATGCTGGTAATCCATAATGGCATGAGATTTATGAGTGGGTTTAAAAACTGAAATTCGAACTGCACGGAATTCAAGTTAGTGACAATCCATGGCTAATCACCTCAGACTGGGACAAACTGCTTGTATCTGAAATTCTATCATGTCTTCATTTTCAGATTTGAAATATTACATCATAATATACTATATAATTATAGTTAACTATTATATTTATGAATTACTGCTCTCCCCTTGACAAGTAAAGTTGTCTGCCATTAGACAGAGTAAATAATAAACTAGGGTGCATTGTGGCATAATGCAACTTAATGGGTTAGTACAGTATATATAATTAAGAATCGAGAATACAATGTAGCCTACATGTATTTGCAGGCGAGGTACTGTCAGTATGAATATTTTGGTTAAATACTGGCGCATGTAATTACTATTAATCTATTATAAATATATTTAAGAATGCAGAGTGCAATATACCTGTATAAATTTACTCGTACTACTACCCAATGAACGTATATTTGGGCTAGTACAAACTCTATGTACATAGTTAGGACTCCAGGTGTACTGTACTTAGGAGCATAATTGCGTACATAAATGCCTACAGTTTATTCCAACATTACTTAGTAGGGGGGGGGGGGGTGAATAGGGGTATACAAATCCGCCGATCCGCCCAAATTTGAAACAAAATCCGCGATCCGACAATGGTCTTGTCTAAATTTGAATCCACTAAAAGCTCTACTATGAAGTCCAAATCCAGGATTCGAACTAAATTGCAAGCTAAATCCACAATCCGAGCCCAAATATTATATAAATCCGCAATCCGCTATATTAATAAGATCCGCAAACCGTGTAAAATATTCGCCAGATCCGAAATCCGAACAATTTTTTCTGTGAAATCCGACGATCCGAAAACCTATTCACCCTCCCCCCCCCCCCCCCCCCCCCCTCCCCCCTTAGTCCCATTGGTTCAGTCATGTTTCATGCCAGAATATGCCAGAATTACATGGTAATATATACTGCAGTTGCTATACATGAATTTGGGGTTAGAGCTCGACAACTGTTTCTCAGTAGTCCAGTTGGTCAGAGGGCTGCACCGGCCACAGGACCTAAAGTTGCATTTTTCCCAACTGCTCCTGGTTAGGTGTGATAAATGTATAAAATTCACGCTCGAAAATTTCATCTACAAAACGCTTCTACAATTACTTTTGTTCTATGGAGTGCAATAATCAAAATCCTGATAGCAAGTGTGTCGCCAGCTTTTAAGATGTAATTGCATGGCTGAAGAAAAACCAAATCATAATATTGGCGTACATCCTGTACGTAATTTGGCGCGAATTATTGCACCCTAGCCGGAAATGCGTGGTTCTTTTGCTTAAAACATACATTCAAGCATAAATTCAAGCATGCAGCTAGTCCTGGTTTAGGTCTAATCATATAGAAAATTCACACTCGAACTAGTTTCCGATCTGCAAAATCCTTCAAACGAGTGCAAACCTCGCAATGACGTTTGGGTGTCAATCTTATATGATTTCTAATTCCACAATTTATTGCAAATGTTCAAAAATGCTTTCTAATATTGGGTACTTTATAAACTTTACCTGAAAAATGTTTTCTTCGCAACATAATGCATATATATAACAATCATAATGCGTACATAATGTTTAATTTAGATCGCTGTTGGTGGTTTTCCGTTTACGTCAATGCTTAAGCTTAGAGTACAAGGTTATTTTTTAATATGGCGACATTAACAAAAGCACGGCATGGAAACGATATAAAATGCATATTCAACTCGCTGTTCTTGTAAACATCAAAGCAAGCGAACAATGCCTGACTGTGTCTGTGATATACAATACATACAGTACTGTCATTACTGTGTAGTTGTAAAGTGCAAACATGAGTAAAGTCTTGTTGCGTACCAGTTATATGGCAAGTTTCGGAGTAAACAACCAAATTTGTTGCCGTACAACCGGACAGATACCCTTGACTTGACGCTCTTAGAAAAAGGCAAGACACATGAAATGCGTAAAGAAACGAAGAGAGCAGACAGAGCCTCCGGACAAATCGATTGCGAACATAATATCATTACTGGATTAGGTTCAGTAATCCTTCATGTATATCTAGTCATCATATGTAGTCAAAACTACTCAAACACGTAGCTAGAGCTATATATTTTCCGATCCAAGTTGACGTAATCAATTTGCAATCTCCCCATGTACAGATCTTTGTCAAAAATGGACCTCAGAACTGAAACTTTCATGCTCAAACAGGCTATAATTCGTAGCGGTCTTTGAAATCCTTGAAAGTCTTTAAATTTGAATGCAGGTCTTTAAAGTGCCTATGACACGAAATTTCACCCCAGAGGTTTATGGTTGCATTGTAAAGATCACTTAAAATGACTTAATTATTTCTTTTATAGAATTTTGGTAACTTGATCCGTTTTCAAGATATTTAACTTTGTTTCATATGCAAATATATCACCGTTGTGACATCACATCACATAATGAGTTTTCAGAAAAATGTAGTTTTCTTGACGAATACGTATCTAAAAAACTTAACAATTGCCCTTGTATATGTATTAACTGGTAATTAACCCTCTGTATTTGTTTGTAAAAATATTTTATCAAGGTAAAATATTGCGTTTTCAAAATGTCATGCGATGTGATGTCACACCGGTGATATTTGCATATGAAACAAAGTTGAATATCTTGCAAAGGAAGCAAGTTACCAAAATTCTATAAAAGAAATTATTAAGTCATTTTAAGTGATCTTTACAATGCAATCATAAACATTTGGGGTGAAATTTCGTGTCATGGGCACTTTAAAGGTCTTTGAAAAGCCTTTTAATTGTGTGAAAAAGCGAACAAAGTCTTTTAGTTTTGACGTGTTAAAAAGAATCAATCAAAGTATTACCGAACGTCGTGCATTCGTTTGGAGTATCCTCCCCCAATATTCATCCAAATTCAGCAAAAGAGTTTAATCAGTTTGTCCTTAGCCCGCGCCCATGAATTAGCATCACGAATTCTTGTATTAATTAGAAGCTTATTTCATAGACTTGCGTTATTTTGTTGACGGACAAACACACACAGAAGCAAGCAGTTGTATTGCATTGTGTGTCTAAGATATGTGGTACTTCCCAACGGATGATTCCAGCAGACGAAATTTTTATCTAGACCAGAAGGACGAAATCCATTACCGTAGCTGGAAAGAGCATCTTAAAATGGGTTAAATTGCAAAGTTTGGTTGCGAATTGTTGTAAAATGAGGAAAATATAGCCCTGTGAAGTTCGCAAATTTTGTATATATTTGCATTACGCGCGGGGAAAAAAACATATTTGAGCCGAAAGTGGCTATTTTTACCGCGTGTAATACAAATGTTAGCCCGCGTGCAGGCCCAAGGGAACTGATATCAGTTCTGAACTAGTTCTGATACAAGTGCATCATGGTCTCTAAATGGCAAGTGTCACACTGTAGGTTCTCAATCTGCTATATAGAGAGATGCGGATTGCTTGAGCGGGATTCAACTGCCTAAAAATACACTAGTAAAACTTCCACGTTGGCATATGCGGGATTTCACTCAGACGGATTTTCAGATTTTGATCGGGGACTGGGGATGCCAAAAATGCAGAGTGGGATGTGAGCGCCACCGAGCAAGCTGTAGCAGGGGTCTGGGGCACAGTTACCAATGGGGGTAAGAGGGCGAAGCCCCCAGAACATTTTGAGATTTTTGGTCCTATTTAGTTCAAAATCGTTATTTCGACCACAGTACTGCATGTCATTTATCCCAATGAGTATTTAAATTTTATGTGCGTCCATGGTTTTACTGTGCTGTATATAATTGGTTGCTACATCATCGCGTCTTTTGATAGTTTATGCTTCCAAAAGTAAGCGATAAACAAAGTAATCTTATAAGATAAGGAATCTGCAGATTATCCAGTACATCCGCCAGCCACTTTTATACCTAGGACTGTAAAGCTGGGTGCAGATGAGCAAGTGCTCTGTTTTCACATACTCGTTGCAAGTTCTATAATTTTTGGAGTGTCCATTGTTTTGTGTTTTATTAAGTTTGTTTGTCAATCGCACATGTGTATATATACAGCTATTTCAATTAAGGTTGTCCCCGAATAAAGCGGAACAGTTGAATACGAGCTATGCAAATTAACTAATTTTTTAGCGATTCCCAGCCGCCTTTCGCGCTCGCATTCGACTTTTCCGCTTTGCTCGTGGACAACCTTATTTGAAATAGCTATATACATACAACAGATTTTCTATGAAAAGTTTTGACCGATTCTATAACAAGCATTGCAGGGAAACGTCCATATATGGACATATACAGACGCGCGCAAATAAAAGTTGTCATAGTCAAACAAGATTTGCTCGTCTGTAAGCGGCTTCCAAGTTTCCTTGTCTCTGCTTTTCCGAATGTACAATTCGTAAGACATTTCCATTTGCACCCTTTATTTCAGTAATAATGATGGATTTAATATTTAACTTACAGGAGGATTTCAAGCAAGGCCTAAAGGATGCAGTTGTTATCCAGAGTGTATCTTCGAAAAAAGAAGACCGGGGCTTCGTCATTGAAATGGTCGACTCTGTTGCATTGGTATGGATTAAATAGTTGTTATAATTGTAGTATTCACTGTGTATAAGTAGATGAGACCACGGACAGAATTAGTTTTGCGCACACGGTCACGTATAAGAAATGTAATGTCTTTGACACGCAATTTGATACTCCCATACAGTATATACATCTAGAATAATCTTAAATTCAAAGTATTAGAAAAGTTTTATCGCGCTTTTTTTTCAGAGAATGGAAAAGGATTTAGGTATGACAGTAACTAAGAAGGATCTTGGTGATGACCCACTGTACCCGGGTGAAGGTATCAAACTTCCTCCTGTGATACTGGCTTCACTTGGCAATGATCCCACCAAGAAAACTGTAAGTAAACAATTAAATCCAGCTACATCAGAAAAGCTTGCCAGATACGGTGATGGCCAAGTGTTTTGCTTTCAGCTAGCTGGCCAAATATCTGTTTTCAAGTGATCGGGGTCTACGTATACATGCATCTACTGAGGAATTGGGATAAGGTTTTCACCATAATTTGTAGTTTGTTCATTCAACACGCATTTTATACGAACTATTCGTTAAATACCAGTTTTCACTTGCACATTGTCCAGTGTTTTCGGCGTTGTCCGTGGTTTGAAACAACGCCAGACTTTGGTGGAAATACTGGGAGAGATTGAAAAATCTTTAGGGGTGGTGCAACTGTCTGGCCCACAATCCCCCCCCCCCCTTGGGATGATAGGGCTTGGGACGTTGATTGGCCTTTTGTGATTGGCTACTGTATATTCGCGCGTTCGCTGCCCAATTGATGTACTGTAGAGTATCTTCTGTAGATATTGTGGGGTGTTTACAGAAATATATGTAGTTACATAAAGGGTCTTGTAGATGGAAATTAACGAAAAAAAAATTATATGCATTAAAGCAGGGCCGCAGGTTGAGCTAAAGTTGCCTTTTTTGCAGTTGTTCCTGGTTGGGTATAACAAATGCATATTTAACAATTATACCATGAGCTCGAGTCGTATATGAACTGATAGCCGATGAGGTGCGTAGCACCGAGTCGGCTATCAGCCATACACGACGAGAGCGAATGGTATAATTGTTTTATAATATAGTCTAATAGCCATGAACTGAAGCAATAATTAATTATCCTCTGTTACAATGTCTTGGCAATTTGTTCGGTCAAAAACCGCTTGGCCTTGAAAATTTGAAATACTGTTGTTTTACAACTCGAAGACGAAGACACGAAGTGAAAGAAATGGTTTTAGAACCGGTATATCTCACAGAAATGCTCAGATATATTATACAGATGTTTGGTAGTATAGCAAGTGCTTGTTGACTGCAAATTCATTTGTCTTTCGTTGCAAACTTTTCTGAACAATTTATATTCTCAATGTCAATGAATATGTTTTTTTCGCTGTTGTTGCGGTAATGAATAATTCTATAAAAACCTTGTATTTAAACTAATTTCTATGTAATAAATGTATTTTGCTAACCTGTCAAATTTGTTTGAGAGTTTTTCCTTGTAGTATTATCTTTCTCAAAGCGAATATTTTCCGTTTTTCTGCTTCGCAAAACTCATGTACTGTAGTTTTTGGACCGCCATCTTGTTTTTCGCTACTCGCCATATATGAGCTGATATACGGCGAGTAATTCAACCAATCAGATTGCAAAACCGCTCATATACGGTGAATGACTATATTATAAAAACTATTATACTAAACTATTAACAATGGTACTCTTCTTAAAATTAACGTTGTTGACTCAAATTAATTAGAGCAGTCGACTTTTCCCTCTACAAAAGTAGCTACGCTTTTGCAATGGTACTGTTTGCATATTTTCACCGTTGAGAATTGGGTCTAAAACTATTGAAAATTACAGTAACTCCTTTTAGGATCGGACTTAAGGTGATGAATTTCACTTCAATAAGATACAGTACCTGTGTATGCATAATTATTATAAAATCTTGTACACCAGCTTTCGGCTCATTGTTAAAATGACACACTCGTGATTAATTGCTTCTCCTTTTGTTATCCACTGCTTTTACTAGGCGCCGAGGTGAAAATATGCGATTTCGACAAACATTTTTTGTCGGACTCGTTAACTCTATTTACTCATTTTTCTCTATAATTGATGAAAAACATGCCATTCAACAGCCACCACAAGCCTGACCTTTATGATTATGAAAGAATTACGTTCATTCACCGAGTATAGTTAACGCACAATGACATGCTAAAGTTGGATTACCTTTTTTTATACACCCTGTACACAGTACTGTATGTCGTATATTTGACGATATTTCCATTTTTTCCTTAGTTGTGTGTCTATGGTCATCTTGACGTCCAACCGGCGGAATTGGTACGTATTTTACACGAGTAACCAACAAATATACTCTAAAAACACCATACCTAATTTTAGTGTGCAGTGATAACCAATTTGTGCTGTGATAAAAGTAAAATGTGCAGTGATAAAATGTAAAATGTGCAATGATAAAATTTGCCGTGATTAATTATAACAAGAAAATGAGGCAATGAGCAGAAAAACTGAACTAAAAATTCATCTTGACACTTCAGAGTATTAATGAAAACTTTTTGAATAAGAATAATATGAATGCAATTGAAATTATAACTGCCACATTATCGAACGTCCGCACTAATATTATACTGAAGGTTCATCAGATGAACAAAGTCTCCTACCAATTGAATATTGAAAGATCTCTTTATATATGACCTTGCAAGATGGAGTGAATGATACTTATTTAATTTGTAATTAGTGTATAATCTTCAGAATTATATACTTAGAATGTCCCCGCACATTGTAGGAAATGCCCTTTTAGAAAGCCTAGATTATAGAATCTTCTGTGGGTGCATGCCCCTGGAACTCCTTTAGAGGTCTGTCACGCCTAAGCCGCATTTCATTTGCCAGTGACGAAAATATTTCTTACCTGCAAACATGTGAATATGAAACTATGCTGTCATAGATAGTCGTGTAACTGCAGGTGCTGTCAAGGCCGTCCAGAGGGTGGAGGGGCAATTTGCCCTGGGGCCCCAGATAAAGGGGACCCAAATAAAGAATATTAGTGAAATATAGAGTGCAGGATTTGTCCATTTCTTGGACCTCAGACTTCAAACATTTTGCGGGGAGAATACTCCCCTAATCATAGTGTTAGAAGATGGAATCACGAGGGGGCCCAAGTCCGATTTTGTCCTGGGCCCCCAAGTATATGTTGGTTTTGGCATTTTTGAATGGCATATGTGTAGTATATGTTGGTTTTGGCATTTTTGAATATCAATTGTAGCCTGTTTTGTGGTTACACATTATTATAAGGACGTGCTTCTGCTCGTGCTTCTGCTCGGCAGCACGTTCTATAATTTGAACAAAAATGTGCAGTGATAAAAGATTCTTAAAATTAGGTATGAAAAACACTCTGATGCATGCGGGTTTCTTGGTCAACCTAGGACCAACAAGCTTTCGTTGGTAGGGTTGCAACTACCTGAAAAATAAAAGGAAAATTTCGACATTTCTGTTTCAAGCGAAGGCCGTTCGTCTGGGAACGTCGAAATAGTAACTACAGACGAAGGACCTTCCCTCGAAATTCTCCTTATGTTTTTCAGGTAGTTGCATCCTTACCAACCAAAGCTTTTTATTGCTGCCAAATGTGACTCGTAACGGATGAGTTTGCTCGCGCACTGGAAGTTTTTTTCAAAATCCTTACTATATGGAAGTAGTATAGATCTTAGTTGAAAGTAGTATGGAAATCCAAACATACTATGGATGTAGTATGGAAATAGTGTGGATATAGTATGGATTTAGTGATGCATGGTATGAATTTCAAAATTATGTTTCTTTTGTAGTCTGATGGTTGGGATTATCCTCCGTTTGACATGACTATTGTTGCAGATGCCATGTACGGTCGTGGAACCACTGATGACAAGGTACAGTACTGCCATTCCCCTCCTGACTGTCCTACGGCTTTCTTAATGTCCACCTTTTATGGCCCAAAATCTTAGTTCTCAAATCTTAGTTATTTAAATTCATACAATATACTCCTTAATTTATAAGACTGCAAATGCTTTCAGCTTTGTTACAGAGTTATTATGAACGATTCAAATGCTTTCAAATAGGAGGGAGGGATGGAGGGGGGGGGGGGGGGAGGGGCGAAGCACTTTTACCCAGCAGTTAATTTGAATACAGTTTATCAAATATGTTTGAAACGCCCGGTTGAAAGTGTTTACAATCCCTCATATATTTAAACCATCCTTTTATAATCCTTGCTGTTTTTGTCTGATTCTTATCAGAAATGTACCAAACAAGGTATTTTATCGCTATTTATTGTATTTGAGTAAAATGTAAACAATAACAAAAGCCCGCAATGCATGACCCTGACACTAATCCTTTAAGCAAGCGCCTTTTTTCAACACAGACATCACCCGAAAATTGTTACAACTAAATTTTACATGTTTGTGATGTTACTCTGAGGGCATATCCACACCGGGCGAGCTTGAAAAATATGCCCGGCCACGGTGGGATTCGAACCTACGACCTTTGGAATACTAGCCCAATGCTCTTCCAACTGAGCTACGCGGTCAGGACGGTTCGAGTAAGTGATATTTCGGAACAGTATCTAGTTCCTTCAATACCAATGTGTTCTTGTAATATGAATTTTTTCTGTGCTGGTGTTGTGTACTCAGGTGAATAATATGTTTGTGATGTTAGCACTCTTGCAAGGAAGCAAAAGCATTAAAAATCTTTTGTTTTTGTCATAATGATGTATTGAGGTTCACCACAACCTGATACTAAGACAGTTTTTGATCCACTTCCCCTTCAGCAATCGATCTGACGTCCGTGTTGACGCCAAACTCACTTGCTTAAGAAAACCGCGGGAACATCTTTCCCCGCGAACATTTTATGCGTTTTGAAGGCCACGTTATACAGTCAGTTTTAATACTTTAAATCACTGTTTGTACATAACTACATACATGACCATGCAAGTAAAAAGACAACCGGTGTAACTTGACAATTTAACACAGACTGTATTAAAAAATACGATTTAACATTAAAATGACTGGAGACAAATGGCGGAATGCATAATCATTTTGTTTGAATATCTTGTATACCACGGGCGCTTTCCATTTAATAGCGAGACTGATCAGACTAGAATTTCTCTGTATTAGTGGATCTAGTTCAGGATTCTCAAAAATCTAGCGAAAATGAATCTCCATCAAATTTTCCAAATTTTGATCATTTTTCAAAAATGATCCAAATTTTCGGATTAGATTGGCCCGAAGTCACAATTGTATTGTGCTCCACTCAACAATTTGACCGTTCTGACCGCGATCTCGCCCACTGATCTAATAGTAGACTGGATATAGCTTCTCCAGATGTGAAAAGTGAAGCCAAATTATATATGCGAAAATCACTTCCGGGGACCACGGAGTGATACAAATTACTATAGAAATGTAATGGCGAACAACGTGAACCAAGGTGAATTTTCCCGAATTTGAGATACTTTGCGAAGTTTTACCAAGCTCATGGCTCCACCGTGGGTAAAAGATGTTATGTTAATGCTTTTAAAACGAAAATTATCCAGATTGCCCTAATATATCGTCAGTTTTGCTCGTTCAAAGTTGTCCATGCGGGAATAATATTTTATCGCCACAATGGTATGACAACACAATCTCTAGTTTGCTTTCCAATTACGGAGGCAGAATATGATCTACTATACTCAAGCATACTTTTAAAGGAAAGTTAGTAGTTCATTTTATCATTTATGTTTAACATTGATCGACCAGAGGGTTTCAAACTTTCAATTATTCATCTTACTATGAAGCCTTTTTACATAATATATTGACATGAGTTGGTACTATAAAAGATATTTGTACTTTTAGTACTTTTGTATTTGTTATTCTGTTAAACTGGAAGGCAACCTTAATTAATGAAGCTTTCTGTAGAGTGAATCTACTTTAATAATGAAGTTGAATATTTGAATTAGAAGTTAGAACAACAAAATTGATTTAAAATGTGGGGTGTATTTATCATTCAATATCTAATTGAGTATAAATATAAGAACAAATATAAAATATATTCAAAGTTAATTTGAAATAATAATCTGCTTAATTAAACCTCAACCACTGATGGACTCAACTCATTGATACCAAAGTAAAATTGTCAGGCAACTATAGGCAGTGTAATATTCTGACAATAGAAGATAAAATATACATGCTTTTTTAGGTTGCCTTGGCCAATTATTGATGAAATTATCTCTAATTTAAGTTTCTAATTGCATATACTTCAAAAGCATGGTTTCTATAACCAGTTGTGCTGTTTCCACAATGTTAAGAAACCCCAGGTGACAAAACACAACATTTGAACCAAGGCATGAGAAAGTCCACTAGCATGCTGCCAGGAAATTTTTTTAATCTCACAGGAAATTTTTAAGGAAAAGCAAGATATCAAGAATGAAGCTCGAGAAATTTCAAAAATCAGCACAACCTCGTACCCAGGGCTTCTGCGGCGTGTGCTTATTGCTCTCTCAGAGCAATAAGCGCAGAAGCCCTGGATACTTAAAGTAACAAACATCACAATTAGAGCATAAATACAACAATCATAACATAAAAATTTGTATCATGTGGGAGTGCTATATAAGACTGTCTGTTATCATGATTATGATACATGTGGAAAACAAGGGCGTACTACTATTATTGAATAGTGCATGAATACTGATATAAATTCAGATTTACAATCTGAAAACAAAATTCAAATATTGTTTCATAGAATTCCTTCATGTCCCTAATTCTAGTAAACCTATATTTTGCTTAATATTGAGGTAGTATATGACTAATTAGTAAGGTAGTTGCACAAGTGAACATAACAAATACTACATGTTGAATGGTCAAATCTTCCTCTCGGTGAATACTTCCCAACTAATCACCTCGCCTTCAGTGAATAATTGTTAAATACATGATCATGTTATTGAATTACAACCAAAATTCAAATTTATAAAAAAAATTGGCAGGAAATTTTTGGTCTGGGAAGCCTGCTGCCAGGAAGAAAAATATTTTAACAAGGGTTAATTTGAACTGCAACCAGTGTTTCTTTTTTTAATACCCCTGGGCTTGGGGTGTGTATAAACCCACAGGCACATGTATAGGGTGTCCCCAAAAATGTCCCCTCTGTTGTTGATTAAGTACTATAATATAAAGCCTGGTTTCCATATGGTCAAAAGATTGAGTCATAATCTTTGTCATCAGCCGAAATACAACATTTTAGAACTGAAAATATGCAGAGTGATTATAACTAGTGAATATTTATGATTTATATGTGGTTTACAGGTATAAACTATTATATACTGACCTTTGAGAAAATTGCAACTATTTTTATGACCTTTATGACCATATGGAAACCAGGCTTTACTCACAGTAATTAGCCAACAACAGAGGGGACATTTTTTGGGACACCCTGTATATGCTGGGAGTTTGGTGGAAAAGCACCAATGGATATTTTACAATAACAAACGTTTATATATAAATGATCAAAATTAATGAACAATACACTCTGCCTCTCAGCCATGGATTGTATTATCCATGATTACACTCTGACTCTGCAACTGAAAGTTCAAAATTCAACTGCAATATAAAAGTAGATTCCTCTTACTACAGAAAGCTTCATTAAGATTGTCTTCCAGTTTAACAGAATAACAAGTAAAAACAAGTACTAAAAGTACAAATATATTTATTACATATCTTTAGAACTATTACAGTAAAGACATGTACTGATTACTGTATATATATTTTGTAAAAAGGCTTATTAAGATGGATAATTTGAAAGTTTGAAACCTTCTGGTCGATCAAGGTTAAACATAAATGATAAATGAACTACTTACTTCCCTTTAAAAGTTTGCTTGATCATATTCTGTCTCCGTAATTGGAAAGCAAACTAGAAATTGTGTTGTCATACTACTGTGACGATAAAATATAATTCCTGCATGGACAACTTTGAACGAACAAAACTGACGATATATTAGGGCAATCTGGATAATTTTCGTTTTAAAAGCATTGACATAATATCTTTTACCCATGGTGGAGCGATGAGCTTGGTAAAACTTCGCAAAGTATCTCAAATTCGGGAAAATTCACCTTGCTTCACGTTGTTCGCCATACATTTCTATAGTAATTTGTATCACTCCGTGGTCCCCGGAAGTGATTTTCGCATATATAATTTGGCTTCACTTTTCACATCTGGAGAAGCTATATCCAGTCTACTATTAGATCAGTGATCTCGCCGTGTTAATTGAAAGCGCCCCTAGAACGATAACGAAAATCTGTAATAAGATGCTGAAATGTATTGAATCTCTTTCCCAATTGGGAGAAATTTTTATAGCTATTTCCCTTTAAGCAAGCAGGACAGAAATACAAAGACGACAGCTATACAGTGTTGGTGCGAATTGATTTTGTATAATATGTTATCAAAATATATCTTTATAGGGTCCTGCCTTGGGATGGTTGAATACTATTGAGGCTTTTCAGAAAACTGGTACCACAATTCCTCTTAATCTGAAGGTCAGTTTCGTTCATACATGCGAGAATTATCGTGCAACAAAAACGTGGTCTTGTACATTATATTAATATCATTTGTGTTGTCTTTAGTTTGTTTTTGAAGGCATGGAAGAAAGTGGAAGCACTGGTCTGGACGATCTTATCGAGTCCGAGAAAGACGGATTTTTCAAGGTACAACAATTTAGTAATTATGGTTTTGTATATAATAATATACATAAAAAAAATTAGTTAAAAAGCCCGCGCAAAGGCATTTAAATTTTCCGTGCAGGATTGTCTAATCCTGCACGGGTGTTGACAAATCAAATTGCGTGGTTCAATGTACTGTAGTTATTATATAATGAGGTTTCTGTGACACTAATCCTTTAAGGTCAGCAAAAATGCACGGATCTTATACTATTTGAGTCATTTCACCCTGTCGATGTCCAGGGTTTCTTCACTTCGTGCAAAATAGGAAAAGTTTTGCACTTAAAAGTGCTTTTCAATCACCATAGTCGCTCAGAACAAAATAATTGCATTTTTATCACACGTTTTTATTTCTTTAAAACAATGTTTTTTCACTGTTTTAATAAATTTTTATTTTTTCCTTATTTATTACCGTCTAGCGCATTCTAAGCTTAGCCAATCATAATTCAGCACGTGACATAAGCGAGCCAATAGCATTTCGTTATTTGTATAGATCATGAACGCGTGATATTTGCAAAATTTCGACTTCCAAATGTTTGGGCGAATAAGAATGAACTGTTTACCTAATATTTAATTGGGAATTTTTTCAATTTTATATATATAAAACAAATAGATTACATTTTCCCGTTGTCTGTTCAGTTATAGATACACAGTATGACGTCATATGTGGTAAGAACAAAAAGCGACCACTCGCTTAGGCCATGGATAATAAAATAAATGGATAGGAAACTAGCTGACGTGACCTAATGTTTTTACTGGGATTGATGGCGTGGTTGGATGCCTCAACCTAGTTGAAAATCAAATTCTCAAAAACGGCATGTTTAGCAATAATACAGCTAAACATTTTAGTCAAAGAGCAAATAAATATAACCATGCCATTCTACGATGAAAACTCTAAGTATTCTCAGTCAATTTTAGCAAATATTTCAAGCACTAAACAGTGAAAAATACATCGCAAATTTCGTTAAAATTTGTGACGCCAATTTTGTAGCTACAAATGTAAAAAAATACAAAACAAAGACGAAAAACATTTACCTTGAATACTTTGTCGTGGCTTAGGCACGTTTTTAAAACAATTAGACCAGTTTACGCTTCAAGATCACCCTTTTAAAGTGGAAAATATAGCAAAACAACAAATATGCCGAGAACTTTGGTAACATTCGCAATACGCGTGACGTCACGTTTTTCAACAAGGATGCAGTCAATGACGTCAGAAGTTTCCAATCCATTTATTTTATTATCCATGCTTAGGCTTACACCTTTTCTTCTTACATCATGCATATGACGTCATACTACAGATGCAGATATTGCACAGCACACTCCCTATCAGGGTTTTTCAGTGACTGGTTACATTGTGAATAGATAGATAGAACCGGAAGCAGACCGAGGTAGACTGCGAGCTTTCAAATGGCGGTTTAAGCAGCCGCTATTACTGTAGTCCATACCTCATTAATGATCTGCCCCCTGACCTATGTGTTTAACCCACCCTGTCAACTTTCCCTGTGGGAGGAAACCGGAGTACCCGAAGAAAACCCACGACTTTCGCCAGAGCGTTGAGCTTTTTACTCTTTTCACATGAGGACTGGGTTCGAGTCACATTGAGAAGTTCTCGTTGAGATTTGAACCTGCGACCTTAGAGGTGAAAGGCAAGTGCGCTAACCACTTCACCACCGAAGCCCCATACTGTCAATCTAACTGAACAGACAACGGTTAAATGTAATCTATTTGTTAATTATTAATCTTGAACAACAATAGTACTGTTTGGTTCCTCTTCCCACTATATTCAGTGCAGTATTTAGGAACTACGATTAATCAAGTCTTCCGCAACAATTAAATTGAAGAGTACCTAATCGCACGTTTTTGTTCTTTTTCGAAGAGCGTTGATTACATCACCATCTCAGACAACTATTGGCTTGGTACCTCAAAGCCTTGCCTTACGTACGGACTTAGGTGAGTACCAACTATATTTGTTGTTTTAGAGCACTGGCCTCAGTTGTATATTAACTTGTCATATTGTGCTTCATTTTAGAGGAGTAATATATTTTCATGTTACTGTCAATTGTGCTGACAAAGATTTGCACTCCGGATCGCATGGGGGACCTGTGTAAGTAATATTTCGAAATTTTTCATTCTTTGGCCAGGTGTTTGAACATGAATTACCCTATATGACCCTCCTAGGTAAGATCGCACATTCTAAATTAAATAAACAGTATATTACATGCAGGCCAACCCTCCTAGATGAAATCTTGCTGGTGAATGCCATGCACACCTGAAAACGAGCAAATTGTAACAGATCTGCCAACAAGGTTATTGTCAAGCCAATATCATGTATCTTAAGTTTTAATTGATTATGAATCCATTGTTGGAAACAGTTTATTGATTACGCTATGAATCAATGAGCTAACTAAAAGCGTTTTGCCTATGTAAGTATTGTAGGTAATAGGATGGTTTCGAGTGCAATTTGGATAAAACGTGCACGAAAGTGAAAGTTAAAAGTCTTAAAAGGACAGTTTAGAGTAGGGAAAATATATGAATCAATGGTTGAATTAAGTACATCCAGAAAATTAACACTGATTTTATTTTTTTTATAGTATAGAGTGGGACTATTTTGACAGTTTAAAATTTAAAATTGCAGCCCTTAATTTATTTCACCTGCCATAAAAAATATAGTTTGTCAGGGCGTATTTCTCTATTTCTAATTTCTTATTAACCGAGCGCGAGTCTTTACAGAGAAATATCGGACCGAGGTCTTTTTTATGTAGACCGAGCCTGTAGGGCGAGGTTTGTACAAAAAGACTGAGATCCGATATTTCTCTGTAAAGACCGAGCAAGCGAGGTTAATAAAAAGTTTATTATATGGCATTTATACTCGAAACAAACAAGAAATGCATGATTTGAAATATATATTAGTAGCGTGGTGCACATTTGGTCGAAGAAGACAAAAATTACCAAATGAATGTATTCTTACCAATGTATTATAATTTTCAAATTTTCAATTAGTTTTGCTGTTTTGTTTTAAAATGCATGCATTTGTTTTTACGTAATGGCCGCCGGTCCATTACGAGAAAATAATGGACCGCTGAAAGTGCTTCTCAGCCAGTCACAGTCCGCCATTTCACCGGAAGTTATGCTTGCCATATAATAAGACCCCTTATTTTGTAAGGTTATAAAAAAATTACCAAAGCAGTGATACTCGCAATCATCAAGAACAATCATTATTTTGATCGTACTTTCTGTATTTGATTTGTCTCCACTGTGCCCGTCAATCCAACTTGAGTATCTCAGATGTGGCAAAGATGTGACGGGCACAGTGGAGACAAATCAAATACAGAAAGTACGATCAAAATAATGATTGTTCTTGATGATTGCGAGTATCACTGCTTTGGTAATTTTTTTATAACCTTACAAAATACTCATATATACTTATTATGATGGCGGATGGTCATGCTAAGGTTAGCTCCATAGATATTCCCAATACTAAATTTAATGTTGGAAATGTGAATTTGGACGATATTCGAACGTATAAAAACAACAACACTCTTGTCTATGATGGGAAACGTTTAAAGTGGAACGGCAACTATGATGAACTGGAGAGTTTTATTCAAAATACCGTTGGTTTGAGCGGTAAATGGATTTCACCTGGCGGGAACTCTAAGAAGTTTATAAGCAACTCAGATCTGACAATAACTTGGTATCGCGGCAAACAACGAACATTAGTTGTCCAAGGTAGCGAAGGGGAGTCTTTAAAGAAATTACTGGTAAGCCTAAATAGTGAACTTATGTTGCCCCAACAGAGTGACACAGGCGTACAGTCTGCCGAAGTCTCAGTAATAACCTGCACCGGTGATAGAAGCGAAGTAAGCAACCTAACAACCGAGAATAATGATTATCGAGCCGAGATTCCTGTCGCCAAAATAGATATAATATCACCTATTGATAATTCGTCGCTTGTGGAGCTTGAGAATTTTATTGACGATTCATTTTGTAATATTATGAACTCCCGACACAGTGAAGTAACGAAGGGTACTGTGGAACAAGTATTTGTAAATTCTACCCCCTTTAAACAACGCGAGAGTGACAACGCCACTACAAAAAATGCAGTATTTGACAATTTTAAAGAGAAGGTTGAATATGAAATATCAAATTTATTGGCTAAACTCACCAAGCAAGACGAAACTATCAACATAAATAAGCAAGATATATGCAAATTGCGTGAAGAAAATTTGCATCTCAAATCACGTATCTCCAAATTAGAAGGAAAGATGGCCTCGGCCTCCATAGAAAAATTCCCTGGTGCTATTGAAATATCTTCTGTCACACCTACAACGCAGTACGTCCCCATAAGCACTAAGAAAAAGGCCAACGAAGACCGAATACCGGAAAGTAATGTGCCTAATATGCAGTCCAATCCAGAAGTTAGTGTACCTACTTATGAAAATTTGACCTTGCAACCGCGAACCCAGCAGACAAATAAGAATCGTTACGACCGCCCACCAAAGAATTCCACTCCTTGCCCATTTCTTCTGCGTCGAGGTTGGTGTCGAAAGGGAGACCGATGCGACTTTCAGCATCTTAAACCATCTCACAATACACATAAACATAATGTCCCCTGTCCTTTTTTGCAGAACAGAGGCTTCTGTCTGAAAGACGATCGATGTGATTTCTCCCACGCTTGGGTACCAACCAGAAGGTCGGTATTAAAAACCACTACTAGTAGCCATTTGCCACCTGCCTCTTTTTTATCCCGAGCGCAAGTGCCATTGCCACCAAACGTCCACACAGCCCAACCTCAGCAGCTCCAAACGTACAGCCTACACCCATGGCGACCCCCATCTTATTCAAGGCCGTTAATAGAAATCCCACTACCCTCGTCCAGTTTTCCCCGATTATCCTCCCAGATCCACCAAAACAGATTTTACTAAATCCTCATAAACAGAGCTCCACTCCATGTATTTCCCTTGAGTCCTCTCCCACATGCATTCCTATGCTTTTCCCGATCAGCGATCTACCAGAATCGACCCCATCACGATACTCCTATTCCGTACAAAAAACTAATA